TAGGGATAGGGGTAGGGATAGGGGTAGGGATAGGGATGGTGTGTACCAGAGCAGTGGGGGGCAGCCAGAACATGGCGCTCCCCTCCACTTTGTTCTTCTGACCTGGTTGTTTTTGACAATTAGGAACAGGGGAGTGTTAAAAAGGAGAAGGAAACAGAATAAATAAATAAATAAATAAGAAATTAAAAATACAGACAGTGCCCAGGAAGGCTGTGGGGTCCCTTCTCTGGAGATATTCAAGAGCCACCTGGATGCAGTCCTCAGTAGTGTGCTCTGCGCAATCCTGCTTTATCAGGGGAGTTGGACAGAATGATCTCTAGAGGTTCCTTCTAACTCTGACAGCTCCATGATTCCCTGATTCAAACACACAGCTCCATGATGCATCTACAGATCCTTACACTGTTTACACAACGCTCAGGAATTTGGGAAGTACCAAGAAAATCACTTACCCTGCTGAGCCCACAGGGCGATTTTTCTCATACAAAGCACCCACCAGCACCCAACAGGACTGGGACCCCTGAGATCTCCCCAGCAAAGCCAAAACCCAGCGGGGGGGGGTTTGGAGGAGAAGAAGAAGCTGGTGACTTCACAGGCTGGTTGATGCTGCCCTGCAGACTGGAGAGCTGCTGCCAAAGGGATCATGTTTTATGGTGGGGAAAGGAGGGGTTTGCCTGTGGATGACAACAGGAAGGGCTCTGCACAGATTAGACACTCTGAAGGAAGACTGTAAATCCCAAGTCTAGAAACCCACCTAGTACAGGCAGGCGTCTGCGGAGAGACGAGGATTAGAAATCAGCCGAGGTCTTTAGTGGTATTTTTAGAAGGTTGTTCCTGACAGGTTAGGCTGCTGAGAACCAGAGGAAAGTGCCAAACCCAGTCTTACTGGGGAGAGGATCACACAGGGTGGTGTGTGATTAGAGGCTGCCTAGCTCAGCGACAAGGGGGATAGGTGGGTTAGAGCTGATTCGGGAGGAATTAGCAGGGGAAATTGCTCGAGAAGCAGAATTTGATTCGGGGCAGCCAACGTGGATTTGTGAAAAAAAAAAAAGGCACGTGTAACTGACTTGCTGGAGGGTGGGGGAGGTGACCTTTCCTGGCAGTGAGGTTTGTGCAACCTGATCTGCAAAGGGAAGGCCTGGCCCTTGTCAGGGATGGGAGTCACCTCCCTCCCTTGTCTCTGCACACTCTCTGCCTCCTTTTTTTCCCTTCATCCCTTTTACTCCTTTTCTATTTTTGGGGTTGTTTTTGTTTTCATTTCGGTTGTGGTTTTTTTGTTTGTTTGTTTCTCAGGGAAGAGAGCTATTGGCTTTCTCCTTTGTCCTGTGGTTCTACTCTTTGTCCTTCCCTTCCTTTCACATGGGACCTGAGATTCCCTCTTGGTGCCTCTGAAGGGGGTTAAATGCCACCACCCACCCCACCTCACCAGCATGGTCTGCCTTAGGCCACACACTGCATCCTGAAGAGGGAATAAAACACCTCTGAAGAGGATCACAGCCTTCCTCAGCTTCACAGTTGTTCACAGAGCTGTTATTCTGAGAAGGCTGAAAGGGCTCTGCAGAAAACAGAAAATACATGCCAGCCGGGCACAGAGCTGCAATGGCCAAGGGAGACTTGACCCAGCCAAAGGGACTGTCATGCTGCCCAGAAAATAAAATCTTCAAAAGCTTTCCCTGTCCCCTCTGTTATGGCCACTCTAATTGCATGGCTGGAGGAAGCCCCTGCTGCTTTTGAATGCCATGGCATGAAAAACCCAAATGGTTCAACCCAAGGGTGGCTTTGTTGCCTCCTGTGCTGCTAGCCTGTGAGGGCAGGGGCACATTCATGGGATGGCAGGAGGACAACTGTCCTGCATCACTGCCAGCTATAGAGATGGCATGGATGGGGAGCCAGGGATGTGGGTGGCTCCATCCTGCCTCTCAGGGCAAGGTCTTGCTGCTCCAGCTGCAGAGCCACCACTGCAACATTAACATGTGGGTGACTCCAGCTCCATTGGCCTCTTCCAGGTCTCTGAACTCCAATCCCATCATCCTGCTGTTCAGCTCATAATTTCCTATCAGGCTTTTAAAACTGAATTTTATTTTTATGACAATGACCCCGTGGTGCTGCCAGATCCCTCTGTGGAGGAGACATGACATCTCCATTACACAGCTCAGAGAAGTGTCTTAAAGAGACCACACACAAAGGAACCTCACGGTACCTATTTTTATTAGGTTTATTACAGGAGGGGAAGTCAAGCAGTCCCATCTCCCCACAGGATACTCTGTTAACAGCAGCAGAGAGAGAGGAGAGATCTGTGGAGGAGGATCAGTTTTCCAGGAATATTAGCTACTGCTGCTCTAAAATTAGAGTCTAGGGAGAGCAGACAGGTTGACATAATTGAAAGGTCTGTCTTATGGGATGACATAGTTAAACGAGCCCATGATCAGCTTTAGAGTGACAGCCCAGTGACTTCTAATCCCCAAAGGAGCACTGAGTTGTGAGGCTGTGATTTAACTAGTCCTGGATCTTACCTTGTGATGATGTCAATATTAGGAGAACCCATTTCTAAAGAGAGGCCTCCAAAATCACTTTACAGGAACCGACTGGTTTTACAGGCACAATTCTTCTGCAACATCACCCTGCAAAGCCCATGGTTGATACAAACACCCCTCTGCTGCCCTTCTTACTACCTCATCCTGTTCCCAGGGGCTGGGCTACAGGGGCAGACCCAGAAACAGGGTTAAGAGCCTCATTTCAGGATGGAGCTGAAGTGTGTCCTTGAGCTGCCCATTTTATTCAACATAATTTAATATCAAACACAAACTAACCAAGTTAGAGGTGAAATATAATAGCAGAAAGCCCATAAAAAGTAACCTAATCTGTAAGATAAATAGACAACACTTTAGCCTGGGGAGATGGAAAATAAAAGAGAAATATGAGCAGAGCCATTCTCAATTCACAAGTAACTTTAAAGAGAAGCAATGAAGATGAGCTCTCCAACTTTTAATGTCTCAAGATTCTTCTCAGAAAGACATTTTTACTGCTTTCCTCATATGATCTCACAACACAGATGTCCCCAGCCAAATGCCCTGGATCCTTCCCACACAAGCAGATGCCTGTTGAAAGTGGAAATGGTTTGGAGGGACCATCCTGCAATTCCTGATGGAGCAGCAGATGTCAGGGATGGAGCCCTCATGCTACTGGAAGCTCTTGGTTGCCCTCAGTAGCCACCTCCTGCTGCATTCTTTGGGATACAAGACTCAGTGCACCCTCTGACTGATGCACTAGCCTGACATTTATTATTTTAAATTATTTTAGGCATTTTTGTTAGTGCCTACTTTAACTGCAAAAGCTGGGATTTTCCAAGCAGCCAAGTGCATTTAGGCACCTCAGTCCCACTGAGTTTCAAGGGTGTATCAGCCCTTAGGCACTTAGCAAGGATTTGCCAAGGAGCCTAAGGGCTCATCACCACAGCCACTCTTATGCTGCTGGATTTACACAGACACTGCTACACCAGCAGGAGCTCACTGCTTCCATGGAAGAGTCTCTTGTTTAAAATCCCCTTCCTAAATTAGGAGGTAAACTGGAAAGAGCCTCCTCTGATTGTTAATTTGTGGTGATACATACCTGTACAAGAATGTTAAATTATTTCCTTGGGTTATACTTATTAAAAAGAAAAAAACCCCAAACATCAGAAAAAAAGCTTTGCTTTGTTGATTGGACTTCTTCAATTAAAGAGACCAAGTGCTCCTAATCCCCACCTCTCAGGCCCTCCAGGGGAAACCTCAAGTTTGGTGTTTTAGAAGTAAAACCCACCATACCTCTGATATCCACTATATTTCCAACCCCCTTGTAGAGCATCCAGGCAGGATGCTCTGAAAGGATCACTCTTGTAGAAAGAAGAGGCTTTTCCTCCTTCAATAATACAGTGGATCGTATGGGAACAACAACAACAACAAATCAGCAGAACCAACCCATTTGCTTTGCTGTTGAATGATGCCCCAACCCAAAAGGAAGGAGCACAGGTGGCAGCCAGGCTGGCAGGGGGACAGGTACAGAGGACATGTAGCTCCAAAAAGGCTGTCTCAGAGGGTGGGAAACATTGCAACAGCCTTTCTAGTAGTAGTTTAAAAATAAACCCCTTATCAGGTGATTTCTGGTCACACATCAACCACTGATGTCTCACATTGTCAGCTGCTAATACCACATTGGGAGTCTCCATGGCAGAGTTCCCTGGGACAACAACTGTCCCTAGTGCAAATGGCACAACAGGACCCAGCCCACAACTACTGAGCCCCAGATTTCCTGCGCAAGACCACGAGATCATCAATCAGCAAAGGAAGTTAGACCCAAAATTGTCTTTATTTATGGCATTGGTGGTTCTCAAGTAAAGCATTTCACTGAAAACTGAGAATCTATACTTAAGTATTTCAACTGGTGATTTAACAGCAGTGCCAAACCTCAGCATTGCCTTTATATATATATATTTAGGTAGATGGATAGATGGATGGATGGATGGATGGATGGATAGATAGATAGATAGATAGATAGATAGATAGATAGATAGATAGATAGATAGATAGATAGATGGAGCTATCCCTCTAACTTCTTTTGCAGTACAAAGAAATAAATCTACACCCTCATAAGTGAGGTTTGGTTTATGCTGTAGGTACAGAATGAGACCAAACCTATTTCTCGTGCAGATGAGTAGGTCTCCTGCAGGTTAGCAAGAGAGGGTGGTCAGGGGAGTCCTGGCAGAGCTTAGGAGCCAGGGAGAGAAGGATGGATCCAGGCAGGGAATAGCTGAGCAGGAGCCTTTAAGCACAGATCCCATCATGTGCAGATGGACCTAAAGAAAACATCTCCAAAAGGGATGGCTCTGAGCTGGACAGCAGGAGTTTGGGTCATACCCTGCCCTGCAGCTGCTACTCAGACTGGGGTTAGGACAACAGTCTGAGTTAATGTTCCCTTTGTTTTCCAGAGAGTAGTCCCTCACCCCCCGGTCCCAGCCACCCATTTACTGCTGGTCTTTACCAGCACACGGTGCAGTCATGTCCTTGAAGGCACCAGGCAACCCTGGGAGGTGGTGGAGCCCCCGCCCACGGGGTGATGCCGCCCCTGGGAGAGTGTCCATCCCGCAAGGACGCGTGACACCGGGAGCCGCGTGCCACGAGGTGGCACCATGTCACTGCTAACCTGCAGAGCGGGGTCACCTGGCGCCCAAGGACCTTCTGCAGGACCCTGCTCACCTGACAGGTCTCGGGCCTCCGAGGAGCCCCATCTTCAAAATCCCCCCGCTGAGATCTTTTTAATACCTGGGCAAGACCCAGGTATTAAGGGTGTGGTTAGTAGGTCAAGAGAGGTTCTCCTTCCCCTCTATTCTGCATTGGTGAGGCTGCATCTGGAGTATTGTGTCCAGTTCTGGGCCCCTCAGTTCAGGAAGGACAGGGAACTGCTCGAAAGAGTCCAGCGCAGAGCTACGAAGATGATTAAGGGGGTGGAACATCTCCCTTATGAGGAAAGGCTGAGGGAGCTGGGTCTCTTTAGCTTGGAGAAAAGGAGACTGAGGGGTGACCTCATCAATGTTTACAAATATGTAAGGGGTGAGTGTCAGGGAGACGGAGTTAGGCTTTTCTCAGTGATGACCAGTGATAGGACAAGGGGTAATGGGTGTAAATTGGAGCATAGGAGGTTCAAGGTGAATATTCGAATACATTTTTTTACTGTAAGAGTGACAGAGCACTGGAGCAGACTGCCCAGGGAGGTTGTGGAGTCTCCTTCTCTGGAGACATTCAAAACCCACCTGGATGTGTTCCTGTGTGATGTACTCTAGGTGACCCTGCTCTGGCAGGGGGGGTGGGCTAGGTGGTCTTTCGAGGTCCCCTCCAACCCCTAAGATTCTAGGATTCTATGATTCTATGACCCAGCGGAGGGAGGAGCGTTTACCCAGCAGGACCACTGGCCCACGAGAGCCCTTTGCATCTCCTGCAGAAACCTGGTCACCCCACAGCCAAGAGCACAAGGTCTGCAGAGCTACAGTGCCATCTCCCACTGGTTACAGCTCTCCTGGGGGTCTCCTTAGCTCCCGTCCCTGCTGTCACCATCGTTAGTTGGGACTGGGAGAGGTGTCAGCATCACAGTGGTGGCTGTGCCTGGCTGGTGTGTGCTGCCCTGCTGGCATGTGGTGGCTGTGCCCCACTCTGCAGGGATCTACACTGAGGAGAGCTGGTTTCTCCCATAGACCTTGATCCTGTCAAGGCAGGGAGGTTTCAAGTCAGCCTATATCCCTGGAGAACTTTAAACTTCATGTCTTGGCACATTCAGATCACCTCCATCTTGGGAGCTTGAGTGCATCCTGGAGGAAGGAGCAGCTGAGCAGTTTTCCAGAGCATGATTCTCAGATCCACTTTTGGACACATCCTGTAAGTCCTGATTTCAGGCTGATTTCAGCCCCAGCTCAGGGCTGTCCCTTCAAACACACAATGGAACAGAGCTAGCAGCTCAGTAGCCCAAACTCCTTCTCAGCATGGTGCTTTTCACTCACTCACCTTATTTTCACCAGGAGATGGGAGTGGATATTAATTTTTTTCTCACCTTTGCATCCTACCTCTGGGTAAGACACTGTTGAAAGCAGGTTAGAAGAGACAGGATCTTCTTCTTCATCTGGTGAGGATGATGGGGACTTGGGGGAGCTGCCTCTTGTCTGCCAGAAGAGACAGATCCTTATAGCCTGGCAGCTCAGAGCAGCCACTTTGTGCTTGGGGCAGGAGTTGGGCACATCAGCACTCACCTACCAGGCTAGTAAACCTGGAAGTTACCAGTGGATGTAAAAAATGCCAAGTGAGAAAGATGGAGATAACACCCAAATACACTGAGAAAGCCTGAGAGATGAGCAGCAAGGGCTTGAAAGAGTTTTGATCAAAATGCTCTTCTTTAATAAAACTCTTGTCCTACAACTCAACATTTGGAGTTTGGACCTTGCAATAGCAGCCCTAACAACGGAAAGGACCTCGAGGTAGCCTTGCCTGGACCCCACAGTGCAGGGAAAAAAATGCAGTGGGTGACAGTCCCTAACCCAACTCCCAGTTAGTATCTTGATTAAGCTCCTGATTGCCAAGTTTCCACAGCCTAGCCGAGTCCTTGAGGTCCTTCAACAAAATCCTCCAGTTGAATGTCCTCTTCTGCTCAGGGGGTACAGCCCCAAGACCTGCCTGTCCCCACCACCCTGCTCTGAGCTCTGCTAACACAGACCTAACATTGGCATCAGTGGGACTGACTGTCTGCTCAGATGCTCCACCATGAAAACCAAAGTACCTGCTGCACCCAAGTCTCACCTGGCAAAGGAAACACAAGTACAAGCTACAGGAACCTATTAGCAGGCAATTCCCCAACAGAGTTTCCACACACATCAAGTAGGTCGTTTTGCTTTTGCTTTAGAACATGGAGCAAACAGCCCAGAAGAAAAAGGTGCATTTCCTTCTGAAGAGGAAACAGAGGGAGCTGCTCAAAGGGAGCTCTGCTGCCTGGGCTCTGTCCCTGGCAGTGTGCTCAGGGCTGGAATAGAGAGCCTGCTAATACTGACGTTATTCCTGACACAACGTTTTGCAGCTGAACAATACATTTGCCAATTCAATTTATTCAAACAAGCTCCTTGGGAAGGCAGCAAAGGAAATCCAGGTGGCAATTACCGAATTCCGACTCTGCCCTGGACTCAGGGAAACAAAGGGGCAAGATACGAGCAAAATGGCAAGTTCTGCTGGAAATCCCACAACTGCAGAATCCTAAGAGCTTTTAATCACGTGCTTGCTGGTATTCAGCTGGAAAAAAAACCACCCTGTGTCATTGGGCAAGGAGACAGAGCAGCACTGTGATTACTCTGCTGTAGCACTTAGCCTTTTGGAATATCTTTACTAGGAAAATTAAATGCTTTTTTGTTTTCTTTTGAAAGCACAGCAGGATTTGGGCTCCATGGCCTGTGGCAGTAACATGCAGTTGAAGAATAAGTACATTCAGTAGCTACCAAGAATGACAGTGTTGCAAGTCCCACTGTGTTCTATATTGTCTAATTCTACTGTAGACAGACTGGTTGGAGGTTGCCTACAAGCTTACATGAACTAACTGGTTCAAAGCTCAGTTATGTATCTTCAGCCACGTGCCGAATCTCATCAGATCCCATCCCTCATGCAGAAACACAAGCCCACAGCCCAGTGCTGGTCCCTGTGTCCAGGATACAGCTCCAGGAGCAGGTTCCCTCCAGAAGCAGTTGAAGGGAAAGAAAAACCTGCTGGGAACATCCACTTCAGCTCTTGATGGGCAAGAAGGAAGAAACTTCTGTTGCACAAGCTCAGCTATTGAATATTTCCTCTTACTAGAGCCTGCAAACCCCACAGCATCAGCAGTCTCTGACCAGTTTATGGTCCTGGGGTGAGGCCCCCAGATCATGTTTCACCTCCCCATCCCACTCCATCCCCAGGGCAGCTGCAGCTCCTCTTCCAGCAGAGCAGTTACACCCGGGATGCCTTTGGCCCTGGATGTAGAATTGGGTTAAGCCAAAAGGTGGCAGCATCTTATTCAGTATCGATTTTGCATTAATATTTCTCCCATTAGCCATTTTTCTTTCTAATCATAGAATGTGAGTTTGTAAATTACAGAGGTGGAGAGTAAATGTATTGCAACCTCTGGCAAATTGATATTTTTGCAGCAACTGTAAACTTTTTCTGATGGTAGATAATTGAAGGGAGCAAGCATCAGATAAAATTAATAAAGATTTGGACCTGCTGGAATAAGACAAATGATATTTAATGTTCAGAGTTGTAAAGTAATTACCCTGGGCTCCAATATAATAAATACACAGACTCTGTAAATGGAGTTTAGCTGACCAGGTGACTTTGATGGGACGCTGCACAGGGCCCTGTGGCAGCCAGGGGGATGGAGAGGGGACAACCCCCTGAGGACAGGGGGACGCCTCAGGTTGGTGTCACCCCAGAAATGCCCCTCCTCAGGAGGGAAGGAGCTGCCCCCTGTGCCTGCAGCAGAGCCATGGCTGATGAATTCACAGCCAAGGAGCCATCACAACTCTTCTGCATTTCCACAGGCACAGGAAGCCTTTGGGTGCCCAGGTTCATCCGTGCCTCTCAGCAGCCATTAGCTGCTGCAGGTTCTCCAGCAAACCCACAGCCTCCTGTTGTCACTCTCCAGCCAGCACACATCATCACCTCACAGCAATCTCTTCTCCCAACACCCAAGAGAGCAGCTGGCAGCTAAAAAAGACAAGGGTGATCCTCTCCCCGTTGAAGTCACTGCCCTTTATTCAGGGGAAACTGATCCCTGTGGGGATGGGCACCCCAACCAGAGCTTGATGCTACTGCCATGGAACTGCTGCACACCTTACATCTCAGAGGAAGGTTGCAGAGAGGCTGTAGCACTGAAAAGCAGAGGTACTAGCCCCCCACCTACCTGCAATGCCATTTCCACCAGCTGGAAAAGATCAGGAGAACCTGCTTTTACACCGAGGAACCACCTTATCTCCCCTCAATCAGCCCTGTGATGGACACTTCACCTGCCAGGTCATCTTCATTGCACATAGCATCTTATTGTGCTTCTAGGCCCATCCAGACCTCACAATAACAACAATACCAACATCATCAACAACAAAAAAGCAGTGCCCTATCCCACTTTTCAAAGCAAGATGTCAGGATGTCAATGCAAGCTTCCCTGGCAAGATGCATGCAGTGCTAAGATGCTTTCCATGCAGACACCTGGCAATGGCAACTCTTTGGGAAGCACATCCCAGCCACCCCACGGTCAGGAAGAAAATGTGCTCAAACACACACCGAGCTGGGAGGTCCCAACCCAGTCCCTTCTTCAGGGCTCCTCAAAAATCACCTCTGAGCAGCTGCTGGGAAACCATGAGCCAACAACAAGCCTTGTCCCTGCTCTACCACCAGTGCTCCTACAGCTAATGTGCCTCTGCCCCTTTGAAGGAGTTGCTTAGAAATTCAGCAGCAATTATGCAAGCTTTAGTATTAAAAAATGCACGTGGATCTGAAAGCAAATCCAAAGCTGCTGCTGTAACGCCAGCTTTAAACTGTCTGCAGTCCCCAGAAATTCTCAGTGGGATGGTTGAGAAGGATG